ATATATTCATGTTGAACATGATTTATGTAATTTATTTTCTCCAATGATAAATATATCATTTAAGATATATTTTTGGAAGTTGGAATTTTAAACTATTGGTAACTTCCATGTAACCTCTCCTAATAACCGTCAAAATATTTTATATAAATGTTTGGAGAGACATCTGAAAGATACAGGAAAATCAACATGCAATGGAGAGACAATCATCTTGCAAGAAACCAAGATATCTCGCAGTTCTACAATTCTACAGGAAATTCTCAAACAAAGCAACTTGAGAATTTCATTCATCTTCTTGTATCCCATAAGATTAAATCTTGAACCTTGTTGCTTTTATAGAGGGAGATTTAAAGCTTATAGGAAAGTGATTACACGCCTACGCCTTGAAGATATCAAATGATCCAGTTTTTGTTCCCTGTTGTCTTCTGTATTTTTGTTGTATCTCAAATGTATTACAGAATACAAGCACTTTTTCCAACATAATATATATATACTACTTAAAGGCACCCTAAATTACACTTAAATTTAATGCTTATTAAATTGATATTTAACTAAAAGACCAAATTTAAAACAAAATCAATAATCAAGAGATAATTTATGGTTCAATTAAAAATCAAGAATAAAAATTAATAAATATTAATAATTAAGGGATCGAATTAACTAAATAGTCCTCATCAAAGTTGATTGCTCTTGTCCTCATGTTAAAATTTTTCAGTTAGGGAGAGATTACAAGATAGAGCCCTATAGGAAAGCTACCACTAACTCTCCTACACTATATACTAGAATTAACTAACTAATCTATAGCCACAAACATACAAACTATATATTATAATATAATAAGGACATTATTATTAACACACCCCCTCAAGCACAAGGTTGGAGGGTGACAACATTGAGCTTGCCTCGGAGAGTCTGAAAACGTGGTGCTGGTAGCGGTTTGGTGAAGATGTCTGTCAGCTATTCTTTCGCAGAGACAAATTTGACAATGAAGTTCCCAGAAGCGACCTTGTCCCGGACGAAGTGGTAGTCGATTTCAACATGTTTAGTGCGGGCGTGAAAAACCGGATTAGCAGCCAGGTATGTAGCCCCAAGATTGTCGCACCACAGAGTTGCCGGTTTACCAGAGTGTAGTTCAAGTTCCTGAAGTAACGAAATAACCCAGGTGACCTCCGCAGAGACATCAGCAAGCCCTTTGTACTCGGCCTCTGTCGAAGACCGAGCTACTATGCGTTGCTTGCGAGATAGCCATAACACCAGGTTACCCCCGAGAAATACCGTGTATCCATTGAGGGATTTTGGGTCAACCGGACAACCGGCCCAGTCGGAATCAGAGAAAGCATGCAGATCGGAGGATGGTGACGCTGTTAACCGTAACCCGTAATCCTGTGTCCCTTTGACATACCGGAGAACCCGCTTGAGTGACGCCCAGTTATCTTCGGTAGGAGAGTGCATAAACTGGCATAACCTATTAACTGAATAGGAGAGATCAGTCTGAGTGATAGTCAGGTACTGGAGAGCCCCGACTATTCGACGATACTGCGTGGGGTTATCAAAAGGATCTAGTGTCGGCGTGGTTGGTTGTGTGACCGCCGCTGGTGTTGCTAAGGATTTACACTCGGACATGCCTGATCGAGTCAAGATATCCTTCATATACCGACGTTGAGACAAGATAAGCCCATCTTTGTCTAGTAGAGTTTTGATTCCCAAAAAGAAGCTTGGCGTGCCGAGGTCTCTGATCTTGAAAGTCGTCGAAAGACGGTGTAGCAGAGTCTCAATTAAAGTCGGGTCGTTGCCCATCATGATGATGTCATCGACGTATACTAGCAAATAAACCCGGGAGTCCCCTGTTGTGAAGTGAAAGAGCGAGACATTGGTCTTGGATGCCAGAAACTCGGTAGACGTTAAGAACTCATGCAGGCATTTGAACCAGGCACGAGGTGCCTGTTTTAGCCCATAGAGGAAGCGTTGAAAAACATTTTCTTTAAAATTAAAAAAAAAAAAAAAAAGACTTTTCAGTAATAGAATCCAATTCAAATACTACTTCTGTCAACATTTTAATAATTTAACGAAATTTGGAACAATTGAGTACACTGTAAATCAAATGCCAATGTAATAAAAATACTAAAAATAAAATTCTTCTGTATAAAACAAAACGTCGATTTTTTTAATAAGACATTACTTTAGATGATGCAGATTTAATATGTATGTCAATGTGAACCACAAAATTAAGATTCAATCATAATAATTTAAATATTGTCCAAGAAGAGATAATGACAATGACAATTTCACATTGATCTGTTGACTTTCCTAACCCCCAAGTCTAGCCATAGAATGATACTATGATAGAATATCCACAAATTGCAAAATCCACTGCTGACAGCCTGCCACGACCACAGCATCAACTTCACATTTAGTTCTGTCGACATTCACATTTATAATTTACATTACATAGCCGGATCCATAAATCTTTTTCGGTAGAAGTGAAAGATTATAATTAATGAAATATTTAAAAAAGATAATAAAAAATAAACACTTAGAGTTCATATTGATTAGAGAATAAAAAAATTATTAAAACGTAATAAAAAAATATTCAAAACAAAATATGAAACATAATTAATTACATATAATAATTTGAATATAAATCACTCATCTCACTATTAATATTTAAAAAAAAATCAATGTTACAATTAAAGAATTTAATTAGAATTAGAAATTAAAAATTAATCTCATAAATCAAAATTATAATCTTACTATTAATATTTAAAAAGTCAAAAATATTAATATTAAAAAAAACCCAAATGTTACAAATAAAGAATCTAATTAAATTTTGAAATTAAAAGTTAAATCTTATAAATCACAATTATAATCTTAATATTAATATAAGAAAAAGCCAAAAATGAAAATTTGAAAATTCATGTTTTAGAATTTTAACCCATGACATTAAAGACATTAGCATATACCTTATCATCTAAGTTACTTTATGTCAATAGTCCACCTTGTAAGGTGAATTATGGTCTATGGTATAATGATTGAGCTGGGCAAATTATTTTGTGGGGACTCCGATCCAAAAGATAGACAATTTACCTTTTAAATTAAAAATTCACAATTTATAATAACTCTATATTGTATTCACAAATTCTCAAAATTTATAAACACAATTTATAATTATATTCTAGCTGTTCACAATTCCAATACTAAAAATACACAAGTGTGTGTGATCCATACACAGTTGTCTACAATATATGTCTCATGGACAAGAATTCGTGAGTGAGACAATCACACACAAATTATTGCCATAGATTTATTATTTATATAGAGATAAAGTAGAGGGATCACAGGTGTTGCCTAATTTGTGACATACTACCCTAGCCTGTGGCCTCTATGTCTTAATAACAGCATTTCTTGTACAGATAAGGCAGAGACCTAACTAGATATGGTACCGCGGAAGAGACTATGATTATGGTTGTCTTAGTTGCATTGATCGGTGGTGATCTAGCTGCAGCCCAGCTATACCCAAACGCCATGCAATAGATGGATATTCTCGTCTCCCTCTGGTAGGGCATGTTTGCTGTGAGATATTCAATCATCGTCATTGCCGCAGAAAAGCTTAGAGTGTTGACCATCAAGAAAAAAATGATGTATACTGGGGAATCTTTACCGGCATCATTCTTGTATATATAGGCTGGGGGGTTGATCCCAGCTTGATAGGTGACTTGGACTAAGAGCGCCGCCACCACCAGTAGCGCGTTACGGGCATCGCTTGCGGTGTCCCTTGAGTACCGGAACTGAAAGTACTCCATCCAGTCTTCCGGCTTCCCATTTGGTAACATATTTACTCTGTCGCCCTCCCTACTACTCATGTTTCCCATCTCCACCGATGCCATATTTGTTTCTGATCTCGCTGAGGGATTTCAAAACATACATATATGCATATAATCCATACCTATATATACACAATACTAGTATGGAACGATAAGGTAATGTGTCATTCCTTGCCAACCAAAATCCACATTGACCTGTTGACTTTCCTAACCTCCAAGTCTAGCCATAGAATTATAGAATATATCTACAAATTGCAAAATCCACTGCTACGACTGCTAGCACCACCACAGCCTCAACTTCATATTTAGTTCTAATCTGTCGACTTTCACATTTATAATTTATGATAAAATTTATAATTATTTCTAGAAAAAAATAGCACCGGTACCAAGTTGCTCTCCTGTGTGGAAGGTGACTATTGGCTCTTTATGCTTAGGTAGGTTGAGAAAGTAGTTATCAACAGATTTTACATTGTAACAGAGTCAGTAGTACTCAAGTAATTTTAGTCTCACGATTATTGTTCTCGTTGCATTGCACATATATAAATTATACTATGGATCATAGTCCACAATGACATATTGCAATGTGAACCATGAATAAATACTCTTTTTTTTTTTTTTTTTTTACCAAACATAATGAACCTTCATTAAATGAAAAATGAACTTTCAAAAGATGAACATTCAATGTATTAAAAATGAACAGTATGTCAGTGATCTACCTTACTAGGAGGTAGATCATGATCCATGATATAATGATAGTGGAAAATGAGTGTAATATAACTTGGGCTTCTATATATTCTCTAGCATATAGTTGTATAGAGATTGTATAATTGTATTGAAATATTGATCCACGGCTAACAAGAAATCGGGACATTATTCATTTTGTTGTCAAGGCTGTCTACAGATGAGCAAATTTTGTGATCCACACAACTCTGCCATTATAACATGGACCATACATAGTCCACTTTACCACGTAAACCATTGATACAAGGTACATTTTTAACATATTAAAGATTCATTTTTAATAGTATATTAAATGTTCAGTATCTGTGAGACATGTTAGGTCAAAATAAAAATATAATATTTGCATTTAAAAATGTAATATTAATCAAGAATAAAGTATTTGTTACTCCCAAGAGAATATATACCCTCACAAATCCAAAGGATAAGATTTTAATGACCCTCCCAGGGTTTCCCAAATTCATTGAGTTCATCTAAAAGAGCGGCTTCAGCTTTTTCCCAAGATTCCAAGTCCCCAAGATATTTTTCTGGTCTCTGAAATTGAACTCAAAGGTCAAATTCTTGTGGTTAGAATATAGTAGCATCAGAACAGACATGTTAGAGCACTAAAACATGTAAGAACTTTAATTTGATTGTAAATGCTCTTCAACGAATGCAGATTTCTGTCCTCGTAATCGTTTTACAATGTTAAGCTCCCAATAAAATGAACATACAAATTTTTGCCATACATTTATTACTTATATGATAAACTACAGGGATCGCAGGTGTTACCCTGGCCTCTGTCTCAACAGCATTTCTTGAACAGATTAGGCAGAGTCCTAATTAGATATGGTGCCAAGGAAGCGACTACGATTAAGGCTGTCTTAGTTCCACTGATCGGTTCTGTGCTACATGAAGACCAACCATATCCAAACATCATGCAAAAACCGGCAATTCTCAGCTCTCTCTGGTAGGGCATGTTTACCGTAAGATATTCAATCATCGCCATTGCCGAAGAAAGGCTTAGAGTATTGGCCACCAAGAAAACAGTGAGGGAAAATGTGGAAAATTCAGTAGCTTTATTCTTGTATATGTAGTCTGGGGGATTGATCCCAGCTTGATAGGTGACTTGAACTAAGAGCGCCGCCACCACCAGTATCGCATTGCGGGCATCACTTGGTGTGTCCCTTGAGTACTTGAACTCAAAGTACTCAATCCAGTTTTCCGGCTTCCCATTTGGTAACATATCTACTGTGTCACCCTCCCTACTCATGTTTCCCATCTCCACCGATGCCATATTTTTTTCTGATCTTTCAATACATGTATGCATATATATAATCCATCCCTATATATATATAGACAGATACTAGTATATATGGAACATTAAGGTCATGTGCACATATATATATAAAATTGTGTGTGTGTGAGATAGAGAGAGAGAGATCAAGGGATACAATATGGGCAATTTATATCGTGCACCACAACGCACATAGTAATGTGCGTCCAGACACAAAACGCGCGCGTTTCATGCTGATGTCACTTCGTCCATCCGAACAGACCAAATTTCATTGTGTGTATTTAGTTAAAATTTTATGTGTATTGTGTTATGAGTTTATATGTATTCAGTTAAGAGTTTATGTGTATTATATTAACCAAACTCACTATGTGTATTCTTAAAAGTTTATGTATATTGTGTTATGAGTTTATGTGTATTATGTATTATGTTAGATTATGTGTATTTTGTTATGAGTTTATGTACATTTGTTGTTTTGGGAGGCGCGGGGCGCAAAGTGCTATGTGCGCCCTGATGCACGATATAAGGATTGTACAATATGCTCTGTTTAATTTCACTAATGCAAATAGGCAGATTTATAACCCAAGCTGTATAATACATCCAAAAAAAAAATTAATTTTCTCTTGTACATACATGGGCTGTCCGCCCATGTGATACCTCACACTCTCACAGCCCATGTGGCCTTCACGGCAGCCGATGTGGGCTGTCATGTGTAGCGCGTGACAGCCAATGCGCTGACAGCTCAAGTGGCTGTCAGCTATCACATGGTCTGTCAACGCAATAGTTGACCGCCCATGTACAAATAAAACATTACAATTTTATTTTTTTGGATGTATTATACAACTTCGATTATAAATCTTTTCGTTTGCATTCATGATCCTCTACACAAAATATTTAGCAATGATGAATTTCGAATTACATATTTTATTTTTCTGAAGTTCAATATGGCAAATTCATTTTTTTCAGTTTTAAAGTTTTAAAAATGTCAAAGTTTTTATCACACTCTTATGGAAGTGATAGCAATGTTGAATGTCTCGCGAATGTATTTAATTCAAGAGGTGGAAGTGAGTTTGCTTGTGCAAGGCATCAAAGAGATGTGTCTGGTCGGGTTGCATAAACATATTTAAATTCGAGTTCGAAGACTACCCGTTTTATTGTAAAAATATACTCGAATCTATATTTTTTCATTTATTTATCTTATTCAATACAGAACATTTGTTCTAAATATTATATATATCGTACATTTGTAATTTCAAGCAATGAAAATTGTAATCCACTACTTTACGATTTATTTATGCCATGTACTAGACAATTTATTTATTTATATATTCACAATACACAAAATATTATATTTAAATAGTATATCGTAATGAAATGTGCATATAGAAATGGCATGTTAAAAGTTTCACGCCATTCGCATGGATAAATATAACCACAAATTATAACATGAATCTTGGTATGTCTTCCTAATAAGGAACGATAAAGCACTGTGTCATTGTTGGGCATACAAAATCTATATTTAAACGGTAAGATCAAATGATAACATGGTCCTCTATAAAAAGTGAAAATTGATTTCAGTTGCTCAAGATTCATAATTTTTATTTTTACATTAAATTAATCTTAAATATAATACTTACTAAATTGATATTTAATTGAAATATCAAATTTGAAACAAAATCAATAATTAAGAGACCATTTACGGTCTAATTAAAAATCAAGAATAAAAATTAATAATTAAGGGATGGAATTAACTAAAAAAATTTTAGGTGTAAACCACGAGGTGGTCACGGTCCAAGTCCATCTGACTAATCCCCATTCGCTCTGAGAGGGGAAGAGCTGGCCCAGGGAATCTTCACTTATGGGAATCGAACCCAAGTTATCCCAAAATTCCGGCCCCATAAAGAGAGCTCATTTTTCATCTAAGCTACTACCTTGTGTTATAGAATTAATTAACTAAATAGTCCTCGTCAAAGTTGATTGCTCTCTTCCTCATGTTAAAATTTTTCATGCAGATTTAGAAGGAAGTATATTAACCCAATGAGATAGCTCAAGTGGCAAATGAGCTCTCTTTGAGAGAGAAGATTCTAGGATAATCTGGGTTTGATTCCCACAAGTGATGATTTTTCTTGAATAAGCTCATGTGCCTCTCCAAGTGAACGGAGATTAGTTGGATGGACCGGACCACCTTGTGTTTTTACACACACCCACACAAAAAAAAAAAAAAAAAAAAAAAAAGTGTAACATTCACGTTGTTTGAAAATTAATAATTAGCCATTAGTGAATTGTATTAACTGTTGATTGTTTTAACTAATTTAACAATCTAATCGTGTATTAATTTTTTTATAAAAATAGTTGACAAAATTATAACATGTAAAATGAATTTTAAAATTATGAATACGTTTTATAACAAAAACTAATTAATTATAATAATTACATTATAACTAATACGGAGTAATTAATAAAATAAACAATATTTATAATAATAAAAATTAAAATTAACAAATTTAATTACAGATCTTATTTTAAGATTTTAAACTACTCTAATTTAAGTTATTTAAAAATTAAAAAAAAAAAAAAAAACTCCACATTTTCTAAGACAGCCTAACATTAGTCATTTAGTAAATGTCACTGCTGGAAATCTTGCGTTTTCCGTCCAACCGTAAATTGGTCGGTATTTTACTAAAGATTTCAACTTTCTGTTACTAAAGATGGGTGGACGGAAAGTTGGTTGGAATTTCCGTCCAACGCGCAAGTGTTGAACGGAAATTCCGTCCAACACTCGCGCGTTGGACGGAAATTCCGACCAACCTATAGTGTTGGTTGGTAAAGTCAAATTGACTGATAGGTAGAAATTAAAATAGTAGGTATTTTAATATCCGTCCAACGTAATATTGGACGGAAATTTAAATAGGGGTTTTAAAAATAGGGTTTTAATATTTCATTTCGCACCCCGACGACTGTTTGTTCTCAAAAAGTCCGCTTCAATTCCTTTCGCACAGCCGCTCAGCCACCGCCCCGCACACCGCTCACCACTTCGCACACTGAACACCGCTCAGCCACCGCCCACCGCCACACCACCCCGCACTGCATCCCAATCGCAGCAAGCCTCCAACAGCAGCGAGGCTTCAATTCGACAGCAGCGGCAGCGAACTTCGGCTTCGACACCTTCAATAGCAGCGAGCATCGGTGAGACCGGCGGTGAGCTTCCTTCAGCAGCGAACGACGACGTGTTTTTTGTTTCGGCAGCAAGCAGGTTAGTCATTTTTTTTTCCATTCATACCTAGGGTTTTATTTTTGGTTAATTTCCCCAGATTTTTTACATGTGTTATTTATTTATCAAATTTCTACTTGTTTCTTAATAGATTTCTAGTTGTTCTTTTTCCTCAGATTTTTTACTTGTTTTTTTAATAAGATTTCATACTTGTTTACAGATTTACATTTCTAATGTTTACGGACAACTTGATGTGAATTTGTGGCAGTGAATTGGACGCTGTGATTTTTAACAGGTTCCAGAAATATGGAAGAAACCAATTAGTGATATTTGCCAATGCATTACTCGACCAAAGAATAGAATAAGTGTGTAAATGGTACTCTGATTTTTGGAATTCCAATTTTATTTGCCACATGAATTTGGCTTTTAATAGAGAATTGTTCTTGGTTCAGGGACAAGGACTGGAACAAATAGCTCATGCTAATGGAGGATTGAATCAAATGAAAGCAGGAGTAAGTCAATAGTACATTGCCATACATTCTTTAGTCTCTCTCTTCCTCAGTGCTGCTTGGTATGTTTCTATAAACTAGAACTATTTCCCGTCTTTTCCTTTTCATCAAATGATAGTAGTTTTTACTGATTGCGATCAACTATCATTTCATTGTTTGGTTCTAGAATATTGAGTTCTATAATTCTGCTTTAGTGTTCAGATCTAACGATACTAGAGTGGTTGGTTGTTGAATGCGGTGTTCACTTGTATTTTTCTCCCTTTATACAGAACATTTCATTTTCTTTTGGAGCTTTCTCTATCTGATAATCTGAAACTCAAACAGATGGCTCAGAAGTAGTGAAGGATAAAGACTCAACTTTTATGTGTTTGAATACAGTGTTTATTGCTGATTCTTGCATTTATTGTGATTCTTTAGATTTAATAGCCAATTATGCTTTCATATATGTTCTCTTATCATGAAGATGGCCGAACTCATGTATGCATCTCTATATTCTTTACCCTCTTACTCTCTTCCTTGCATTGCACCAACTTACTGAATCGCTTGGGCTTTACTTGGAGTTCTACATATCTACAGTGAATGAAAATCTGTGACATTTCCTCATATTAAAGATTATTGTGGATGATTATTAGTTATTATCTACTATAATATCATTCTTAGTGAATTATTTTGTTGAAATTGTGGGCATTAACATCTATAAATATGGATCGGAGCATTCTTCTTTCTTTTTCCAGCCTGCAGATTGGGATGAAAGAGAGTAAGGGACAACTTACATTTGACATTTTCCTATTAGCATCACTGTGTGTATCTCTTCCTTAAGTGAGTTAAATTGTTGCACTAATTGGTACTCAATTATATATCTTCCTTAAGTGATACTGGACAATTATTGTTTTGTTATGTTTTAAGTTCAATCTATAGTATAACGTGTGAAAGCAGCAGTTCAGCAAGACTTGTGGAGTACATCTCTTATACTAAACAAACTTTAGAATTAGGATGTAAGAATTTAGAAGTTTTCTATTTTTTCTGTGTTAGATTACTTAAACATAAAAGACATTCCTTTAATTTTCTAGTCATTTTGTAAAATGCATAGGTATCTACTCATTCAGTGTTAGATTACTTATATCACGGTCCATTTTTGGTGAAGGTTTACACTTGATCAACTTCATTGAAGGA